AAATAATAATATGTACAAAACAAACTGGAAAGGCTGTAAATACTGGCAATGTACAAAACTACAAAATATTTGAATTAGAAATGAACTCGGTATTTTTCAACCATTTTCGGTACCTACCAAACCGATAAAATAAGAAAATCGGGTGACGTGGTGACACTGGGGAAGGTATGTGGAACAACTCTGTGAAAAAAAAAATTGGAACATAAAAAAGGCCTGTTCTCTTATATAATAATAAATTATGTAAAATCCTGAATGACAATAATTCATTAAGTTATTCGATTTTAAATTACATCAAAATAACAAAATCGCTACATGAGAAATCTAGTGAATATTCAATCTTGCACAAAAATTGAACTTCAAACGCTCAAAAAATTTTATTTGATTCGCTTGTAGACATTTCTTTTTTTGATTAAGGTAGACAAACTTATGAGGAATCTTGTATTGCATTTTAAAGCTTTTTGACCCAACGAAACTAATTTCATTGTCATCTATAGAGAAAATACCTAAAAAAGTGGACCTAAAAAACCAAGTTAAAATATTTTGAAAATGTTATCGTGTATAGCAAAAAATGCTAATATAAACAACCAGTGAAAATGTCATGATTTGTAGAAATAGTTTTTACTTTTTAGTCGTCGTCGTAGTCTCGAGGTCTTCGTTATTATTGGTGTACCTACACTGCGTAAGACCTCGCATAATATTGTAAACGTAATATCTAGAAAAATCAAGTTAAATCGTGACTCAATTGTTATTTATTATTATAATCTACAGTCCACAATAAGAGTAAAATTACTTTAGCATAACCGGCGCATTTATGGTACCAACCATAATACGAAACTCATAGGTACTCGGATGCCTACTCGAAAAAAGGCCCAAAAATATTCGAGGGATATAACCATTGACGGATTGGACCACCGGGAATTTGCGGGAGTTTTCCCGTTAGGCCACTTTTTCAAATAACTATGTATATTAAAATTAAAATTCTTAAATGCCTATTAGGTACGCATTTTTTTTCCGATTTTTCAAAATACAATAATACGAATTGGATTGTGGACAGTATGCAACAGTATATCAGGTAGGTAATCTACCTACGGGCTACGGTGGATTGCAGACGGGTATCTAACCTAATCGTGACTTGCCCGGAGAAAAATGCCGCCCGGCGACGCGCACAAAATTAATAAATAATCTCGTATGTACCAATAACCACTTTTTGGACTTTGAACACTGCTTGACTTTTAGTTGCATGTAATAATCAAATACTATTTCTTTTATCTTAATTATCTGGTTTGTCGAGTTTTACTCGTACCTATATCTGATATACATCCGATATACCTAGTTAATATAGATAGAGATATGTATTATCTATAGGTGGTGGACATACTCCACCGTGTAACTACATATCGTACATAGGTAACTGAACAGTTGTGATTTTTGTCAGTATAGTTCGACGTTTTGTTAGTATAGTTCGACATTCCGTTAGTGCCTGAAAAAATGTCAGAAATGTCAGAAATCATACAAATCAACGAAAAAGGCACCAAAATAGTTGTGGGTGGTTATGCATATACCCTTCAACATACATTATTAGGTTATGATACTAACTACATAATATTATAATCATTGAATTTTTTTTTGTATAATATTTTATATTATGACGATATAGTTAATAGGTACTCAATTTAATTAATTAATTGATATAATATAATGTATATTTTATGTTATTATACTAAGTACATAATTATAATCATTGAATATAAATATTGTTATGTATATACTATATAATATAATATTCACCGGACTTTTTTGGCTTAGGACTTATTGACGGCGGACTTTTTATGCCTCGGACTTTTTTACCCGTACTTTTTTTCCTAGGACTTTTTTACTTCGGACTTTTTTACCGCGATTCATTACTGCAGACAGAACGATGAGTGACAGAAAGCAAAAATATAGTATTTTTTGAAAAGCAAAAACAGCAAATGTAATATATAGCATTTTTTTAGAAAATAAAAAGATACACATAGATTTTGCGTGTTGATTCTGTTAATTTAACTATCAGGTATATTAAGTGGAAGTAAATTATAACTTATAAGCTTTTATTTAAGTATAAAAGCGCATTATTAAATATTATTGAATAGGTAATAACCTTTCTTATTAAACACAAAAATCGTAACATTAGTAGTTTAAATTATTCACTTTTACTGTGATATATAGGTAGGTACATATAAGTAATTATAAGTACTTACTACTTACTATTATAAATGCGTAAACATAAACTGTTCAAAAATAAAAATAAATTTGATATCGATGTGTATATACTATGAATAAAGTTTTATATAAATTAAATATCTCGCCAAATGTGTTAAAAAAATTGTAGTTATGTTAAAATAGTAATACATACGTTTAACAAATCACAATTATTGACAAAGAAGGGTTTTTTTTATTAATGAAATCTAAGTACACTAAACATTTTAGCTCTACCATTAACTTATTTACCTGGTAAGTCAATATGATTTTTAATATTTTTTATAGAGATCCATTTATAATAAATATTTAATAAAATATTTTTAAATTGTGTCTAGGAATACATGATGGTATTGACTACACTTTTTCTACTGGAACATCATCATAATTTCCATAGTGAAAAATCTAGATATTTACATTTAATCAAACAATTTTATTAAACTGTGTACAGTGTGATCACGATAAGTGGAAACATTCAATAACTATGTGCAGGCTTCATGTATTTCGATTCTGCTTTTTTAGCTGACTAGTAAACAGTATTATCCACATTTTAAAATAATTAGACCATAATGGTCACAAGAATGATTCTTGTGACAGTTAATTTTGCAAATGTGCACAATATTTTTTTACTTATTAAATGGCACAGTCCTATCTTTGACCACAAATTATTTATACATGGGTAAAACAGATTATAAAATACGAAGTTAACATAAAATCAGATTACTATAACTCGGTCATTTATTAACTTAGAAAAGAAATTCAACCACTAAAATTAATTAAAAAATACAAAGAAAATTAGTTTGTGGTCAAAGATGGGTCGTGCCATTAAAAAAAAATTAATATTGTGCACATTCGCAAAATTAACTGTCACAAGAATCATTCTTGTACGGTTACTTAAAAAGCCAGGGAGCTCTTGAAATTTATCTCGTCGGATAGTAAATTTTCCTGGCTTTCCGAATATCTATGTTAGGTCCTTCGACTCCTTCCGGAACACTGCCGGAAAAATCAAAAACCACGCGCGCGTATACGTTTCACGTCTTACCGGCATTAGTCACCTGGCACTTTCGTGCACTAAGTACGGTTACTTAAAAAGCCAGGGAGCTCTTGAAATTTATCTCGTCTAATATTAAATTTTCCTGGCTTTCCGAATATCTATGTTAGGTCCTTCGACTCCTTCCGGAACACTGCCGGAAAAATCAAAAACCACGGGATTGTATACGTTTCGCGTCATACCGGCATTAGTCACCTGGCACTTCGTGCACTAAGTACGGTTACTTAAAAAGCCAGGGAGCTCTTGAAATTTATCTCGTCGGATAGTAAATTTTCCTGGCTTTCCGAATATCTATGTTAGGTCCTTCGACTCCTTCCGGAACACTGCCGGAAAAATCAAAAACCACGCGCCCGTATACGTTTCACGTCATACCGGCATTAGTCACCTGGCACTTTCGTGCACTAAGTACGGTTACTTAAAAAGCCAGGGAGCTCTTGAAATTTATCTCGTCGGATAGTAAATTTTCCTGGCTTTCCGAATATCTATGTTAGGTCCTTCGACTCCTTCCGGAACACTGCCGGAAAAATCAAAAAAAATCAAATACATAGAGTTTTGCCTATTTTTCGTTTGCATAGACACTACCATTCAGTATGTGGATAGATAAACGGAATATTACATAATTAATTTAAATAAAAACAATTAACATAACGTAAACTTACCTGTTTCCGTAGAATGTGATCTCTAACAAATGACATCGTTAAACAGTTTACACTTTTAATTAGTTAATGTAAACTGCAAAAGTACAATGTTCATTTGTTAGAACATGTCTTCGAAATTAGGGCAATTTATAACCTAACTTTAAATTAATATTGATTTGTATAATTCGGCATATTTATGGTTTCGGTATAATTATCGTGGTAATGACGCCAATAGAATTTATTATTTATTTATATACTTTTAAAATAAATAGTTATTAAATGTCATAGGGCGACATCTACTTTATAGTTTCGATGCAATAGAAGGCACCCTTGAAATTTAAAGAATGCAACACAACGTGCAAGGTTTCTTATCACTAGCCGCCCGAAAAAAATAGTCACCTAGCTTTGGTCACCCAACTTCACACACGTCAATACCTATATAATATGAACACTAGGTATGAACTAAATAATAATTGCTTTTACAGAATATATATACAAAAAAAGGTGGGCAAGTGGGTGTCGCTCTGCTGTACAGTAGGTTACAAGTGGGTCACTGTATAATGGATGGTATTAAATTTGAATTCAATGATATAATATCATTGTATAAGAAAAACGATTCTTAGCGGTGACGGTATGTCAGTCTATGTATAAGACATATTATATACATATCTATGGTATTAAACCAAAATTGACCTATAATAGGTACCTATAATAAATTACAAACTAATCATATCACAATATCCATTAGATACTTATAACGCGTTATACATCAACAAAAACCGTGATACTATCATAGATTGTGACATTATCACTATTATTATTACTATTACTTTTATCATTATTATTATTATTATTATTATTATTATTATTATTATTATTTTTCCACTCATGTTAGAGGTTATGATTAATGCTGTTGTTGTTGTCTTGTACGTACGTGGGACGCACGTTGTTCCGTTCCTTACTGAATTATTATGTACCTATGTGTATCGAAAGTTATTTGAAAGTAATAAATTGTTCTAAATGAAAGTATTTGTTATTTCTTACATCAGAAGTGGGATAAAGAACGAATGTTAATTATGGATGGTCAGATGAATGCGGATAAAAATGTCGACGGCAAGACGCAGTACTCTGCGGAGGAAGTGAATCATGTGATCTTCGGCCAGAGTGCTCAGAGCATTCAGAGCACTCAGAGCCATGTAAAGGAAGACGGGAACGCGATTTTGATGCAGACATTACTCAAACAGAATGAGTTACTAATGAGAATGTTAGCGATAAAGGAGAAACCGCCAGAGGAGGTATACGCTCCACCGGACTTGTCGAAAGTACTACCAACGTTTGATGGTAAGTGTAAGCCCCATGAAGCGGCGGATTGGTTGAGCACGCTCTGTGGAGTGGCGTCATTACATCGTTGGTCGGATGCACTCAAGTTGGAGGCGGCGAGAGTAAACGTGGATGGTCCAGCCCGCCAATGGTATATTGGGCGAAGATTCAATTCATGGGCAGAATTTGAACAGCAGTTTAAAGCAACGTTCTTCAGAAAGGTTAACACGGGCAGTCGATGGAAGGCATTGGCAGCGCGGGTACAAGGTAAAAACGAAAGTATTCTAGACTACTTCCACGAAAAGGTTCGACTTTGTCGAGATTTGGATTTAGATTTGTTTGATACCAAGGAACAGTTATTAGACGGTATCCAATCGAAAGAATTATTTCAATATTTGTTAAGCCGTACTCATAATGACGAAAATGAGTTACTATTTGACATTATGGACTACATGCGGTTAGTGGAGCACAGAAATGTTCGATTTCAAAATAAAATAGTTTTGTCCAATTCAAATGAGAAGCAGTGGCCCAGAGGAGAAAGTCCTAAGCCCAAAGCGGAAAGTTCGAGTAGGAGTCAGAAGGGTGTTGAGTCAGCAACAAGCCGGATATGTTACAACTGTGGATCCAGAACGCACATTGCGCCAAGTTGTCCCAGTCCAGTAAGACCAAAAGGAGCATGCTACGGTTGCGGTTCAACAGCACATCAGCGATCAGCGTGTCCGGAACGTGATCAGAAAAATAGGAATGACACAAATGAAGAATCTCGGCGACAGAACGAGCGGCAACATAGTGGATCAGCAGGAGAGATCAGACTGTTAGAGCCAGCATATAATGTAAGGGTAAGTATAATATTATGTAAGGAGACTGTTACTGTTAATGCATTGGTAGATAGTGGTAGCCCAATTTCTTTGATTAAGTCTCATCTTATCCGGACTAGTGAACGAAAACCATTTAATAATGATATTTTTATTTCGGGTATCAACGGGTCTCAATTGAGTATTGAAGCGGTTACTGATGCTACGGTTTTATTAGTTGATTATGATTTAAATAAGAAACAAATATTTTATGTGGTAGATGATCAGACTATGTTATCCGAATGTTTATTGGGTAGAGATTTTATTAAGGGGATGAATATTTGGTTCGGTGAAGATGGTAAGATTATGGTAAATTCGAAGCAAGAACAGTGTGATGGTAATGACTTTTTGGTTGACTTAGGGTTAATAGAGTATGAGTTGGAAGATGAGGTGGAGTTGAACATAGGTGAGGTATCATTTAGTGATAGATGTAAGTTAAAAAAAATATATGATAACTGTTACTCAAAAAGGTTAAAGCCCGAGTCTCCTGAGATAAACTACGAAGTTAATATAAGTTTAAAAGACCACACTCCTTTTAATTACCAACCTCGACGACTATCATATATAGAGAGGAACGCGGTGAAGGATATAATTTGTGAGTTATTAGATAAAGGTATTATAAAGGAAAGTAAATCTGAATTCTGTTCACCCATAGTATTAGTCAAAAAGAAAGATAATACATATCGAATGTGTGCGGATTTGAGAGAATTAAATAAAAGAGTTGTGAGAGAACATTACCCGATTCCACATATAGATGATCTATTAGATAATTTAAGAGGGAAGATCTTCTTCACAAAGTTAGATTTAAAGAATGCCTATTTCCATGTGAAAGTATCGGAACAGTCGTCCAGATATCTCTCTTTTTCAACATTTCTGGGGCAATATGAGTATGTCCGATTGCCTTTTGGGTATTGCAATAGTCCCTCAGCATTCATGAGATATATTGAAACAGTATTTAGGGAATTAATAAGGTCTGGAAAGTTATTAGTTTATTTAGATGATTTGTTGATAGCCACAGAGACTATAGCAGAAAATTTGGAAATAATAGAATCGGTATTAATAGCATGTAATAATAACTTACTTGAATTGAGGGAAGATAAATGTTTTTTTCTACAGTCGAGGATAACATATTTGGGTTATGTGGTGGATAAGGATGGGGTGAGACCTGATCCGTCTAATGTAGCAGCAGTGACACAATTCCCAATACCTAAATCAATAGCCAATGTACACAGCTTTGTAGGACTAGTCAGTTATTTTAGGAGATTTATTGAAAACTTTTCCATTTTGGCAGCACCACTGTATGCGCTGTTAAGGAAGGGGGCTCAATTTAAGTTTGGGGAGAAGGAGTCACAGGCCTTTGAGTTGTTAAAGAATAAGTTGGTGCAAATGCCGATTTTGGCATTATATTCTCCGTCAGCTGAAACCGAGGTGCATTGTGATGCTAGTGCATTGGGTTATGGAGTGATCCTATTACAGAGACAGAAAGACGGTTTAATGCATCCTGTGTTTTACTATAGTAAGAGAACCACTGAGGTAGAAACTAAATATCATAGTTATGAATTGGAGTGTTTGGCATTAGTGTATGCAGTGAAGCGTTTTCATGTTTATCTCAATGGTATTAAGTTCAAAGTGTTCACTGATTGTGAAAGCTTCAAGTTGACTATGAACAAGAAAGATATGAACCCTCGGATTGCAAGATGGGCGTTATTATTTCAGAATTATGATTTCAGTATTGAACATCGTGCAGGAAGTAAAATGAAACACGTTGACGCATTAAGTCGGAATACCAATATATTAATGTTGTATGAAAATACTTTTGAGCAAACGTTGTCGATTAAGCAGATTGAAGATAAAGATATTAACAAGTTAAAAGAGCGGTTGAAGAAATGTGAGGATAAGTACTTCGAAATGAGAAATGGTTTAGTATATAGGAAGTATAAAAGTGAGTTGTTGTTTTACGTCCCTAGTAGCATGGAGGATAATGTGATAAGGTCGGTGCATGAGGAATATGGGCATTTGGGTGTAGAAAAAACCAGTGAAGTAGTGTTGAGAACATTTTGGTTTCCCAATTTGAGAGAAAAAGTCAAAAGTTTTATTTCAAATTGCTTAAAATGTATCTCATATTCGCCAGTATATGGTAAAAAGGAAGGTGAGTTGCACCCTATACCTAAGGCTCCAATACCGTTCGATACAATCCATATCGACCACTACGGTCCACTGGAGAAGACTGGTAAAAAAAATAAATATTTGTTTGTAATCATTGATGCATTTACCAAATTTGTTAGGTTATATCCTTGTAAAACAACTAACACGGTAGAGGTAATTAGGCATATGAATGATTACTTCAGGTGTTATAGTATACCTAGAAGGGTAATATCTGACAGAGGTTCAACGTTCACGTCTAATGCATTTGGAGAATTCTTAGCCCAGAAAAAAGTAGATTTGGTATTAGTGGCAACGGCGACACCCCGGGCAAATGGACAGGTTGAGAGAGTAAACCGTTGCATAACAGCAATGCTGGCAAAAAAGACAGTAGATTTAAATAGGTGGGACAGGGTATTGCATGAGGTCGAGTACGCCTTGAACAATATGTTATGTGCTTCGACGGGTGAAGCCCCATCTAAGTTATTATTTGGTGTATATCAACATGGTACGGTGGAAGGTGAGTTTAGGAGGTTATTGGTGGAAGTGGAGAAGGACAGGAACTTGGAGGAAATAAGAAAAGAGGCTAAGGACAAGATAGTAAAAAATCAATCATATAATAAAAAGTATTATGATGAGAAACATAAGAAACCTACCTTATATAAAAAAGGAGATTTTGTTGTAATTAAAAATACAGATGTTAGTGTGGGGGTGAATAAAAAATTAATACCTAAATTTAAGGGCCCATATATAATAGACAAGGTGTTACTAAACGATCGATTTATAGTCAAAGATGTTGAAGGTTTTCAGCACACTCAGGTGCCTTATGAAGGAGTCATTAGCTCAGATAACATGAGACATTGGGTTAGGAGCTTGGAAAAATGATCCTTTATTATATTTCATGTATTATGGTTATGTTGTTATTTATTGATGTTTATATTAAAATGTACTGTTTACTTACTATTTACTTGTTTGTGGTTAATTATTATTTTATGTATACTATTATGAATGTAATATCCTATTATGTATTGTTATAATATTGTTCAGATGTTATTAGAAATTATGATGTTAAGTTAAAGATATTGTGTAATGATCCCAGAGACTGGGATAGGTCAGGATGGCCGAGCTGTGACATTATCACTATTATTATTACTATTACTTTTATCATTATTATTATTATTATTATTATTATTATTATTATTATTATTATTTTTCCACTCATGTTAGAGGTTATGATTAATGCTGTTGTTGTTGTCTTGTACGTACGTGGGACGCACGTTGTTCCGTTCCTTACTGAATTATTATGTACCTATGTGTATCGAAAGTTATTTGAAAGTAATAAATTGTTCTAAATGAAAGTATTTGTTATTTCTTACAAGATATATAATAGTACACTTTAGAAGTTTCAAGTACCCACGAATAATATTATTCAATCAAAACGAAATAACTAAAATCGTAATTCTTGGTTTAAATATGAAATTTTGTCTAAATTTGAAATTAAAATGTCTGTAAAAAATAAGTGTGTTTATATATTTTTTAGATTTTTTGGTTACAGTATGAACTATTTACGAGAACCTTTGTGTTGAATTTGCAATCCTTAGCTATAAAAACTGAACATTTTATAATTTATTAATTACAATGATTGATAATTTTCGAGATTTTGATAAATTTTGTCAAAATTTGATCTTTAAATGCTTATAAAAAAAAACTGTGCCTATGTATTTTTAATATTTTTCAACTGATATTATAACAATATATCAGGAGCCTTGTATTAAATTTTTACACTTTTTGGCCCAACAGATAAAACTTTATTGATATTTATAGAAAAAAAAACTAAAAAAAATTGAAAGCTGTAAATGTCCATAAACAGCTCAAAAAGAGTCAAAATATTTTCAAAATTGTATGGTGTATAGAAAATGCTAATTTAAACATTCAGTGAAATTTTCATGTATCTACAGTTATTTGTTTTTGAATTACAACAAAATAAGGAAATCGCTACATGGGAAATCGAGTGAATATTCAATGTTGTAAAAATTTGAATTTCAAACGCTCATAAAAATTTAATTTGACTTTCTTATAAACATTTTTCTTTTGATAAAGGTAGACAAACTTATAAGGAATCTTGTGTTTAATTTTCAAATCTTAGATTTAAAAAGAAAAATTTTTACGAATTCTTAACTCAAAATAATTTGCTAATTTTCGTGATTTTCCCATATTTTGTCAATTTTTGAACTTTAAATGCTTATAAAAAAAAATTGTGACTAAGGATTTTTAATATTTTTCATCTGCCTTTGAAGCAATATATTAGGAGCCTTCTATTAAATTTTCAAGCTTTCGCAACCAACAAATAAAATTTTATTGATATTTTTAGAAAAAAAACTAAAAAAAAATGGAAAATGAAAATGTCCCTAAACAGTTCAAAATAAATCAAAATATTTTGAAAATGTTATCGTGTATAGAAAATGCAAATATAAACAACCAGTGAAAATTTCATGTATATACGTTCATTTGTTTCAGAGTTACACCAAAAACCAAAATCGATTTTTTGGAAAACCAATTTTGCGTAAAAATTCCCGTTTTTCCTTAATTTTTATGTTGTTTTTCCCGGCGCTTGTGAAAACTACTGGGAAATTTATACTTTTGACCCCCCAAAGTACCAACTAGATTCACTTTCCTATCAGAAAAGCTACTGATGAAGAAAATCCAAGCACTTTTACTGTCCTAAAACGTGATGACAGACACAAAAAAAAATAAAAAAATAAAAAAAAAAATAAAAAAAAAATAAAAAAAAAATAAAAAAACACACATCATTGTAAAATCAATACATTCATCGTTTCACTCAGAATCTAAAAAAAGTATGATATTTAATAAGTATAAATTATCATAAATATTAGGTTTTTAATTATTAAAATGTATTATTACTGGATAAGCAATCATTAAGTCAATAATACCAAGAGATAAAATCGTGTATTTTACATCTTCAATATTCCATCTACATATAGTTTTTGAAAAGTCACTAACTTTATAGATACCTATTGTATTGTTTTTTATAGGTTCTTTAAAAAAACACTATAATTTAAGGAATTGTCCTCCTTGTAAAATTTGTTTTTTTAAATGTTTGAATTATTTTGTTAGAAATTCATAAACAATTTTCTTTTTAAATCATAGAATTAAAAACGTAATACCTACAATATTCCTCATAAGTTTGTCTACCTTTATCAAAAATATGTCTACTACTTACAAGAATGTCAAATTAAATTTTTATTAGCGTTTGAAGTTTTTATTTTTACAACATAGGATATTCACTCGATTTCTCATATTGCAATTTTCTTATTTTGTTGTAATTAAAAACAAATAACTGTAGATACATGCAATGTACACAATACGTTTATTTTATCAATTTTCATACTTTCTAAAGTTTTCAAAATTTGTTGACTTCTTTTGAGTATTTTGACATTTTGGATTTTGAAATTTTTTAATTTTGTTCCATAATATTGTCAATTAAATGTTATTTGTCGGGTCAAAAAGCGTAGAAATTGAATACAAGATTAATGTTATATTGTTACTATAGAAGTTGAAAAATATTAAAATAAATAGGCACAATTTTTTTACAAGCTTTTAAATTTTGAATTTTGTAATCAATTTTAGTATTTAAAAATAACTCTGTAGTTAAAAATTTATAAAATGTTAAATTTTATAGCTTAAGATTGAAATTTTATAACAAGGATCCACGTATATAGTTTATCCCAACAAAAACACTACGCCAAACTCCGTGTAAAAAAACGCTCGGTATAAAAAAAAACCACCTCAAAGTTGTGATATCATTTTATAGTATTACAATGTATTTAAACTACATAGTAAATAGTAATAGATATATTATTATAATTTATGTTAAAATTCACTGCTTATAAATTGAACTTAGCTGGTGACATTATTTAAAACTCATGAGAATTCATTTTGTATTGAGTATACCTACATGTTATCTTTGAAAATGAGTGATACTAATTAAGTGTTAAATAAATTAATTGTTATAAATTACTAATTAAGTGTTATAATTTTAAAGTCACCAGCTAAGTTCAATTTATAAGCAGTGAATTTTAACATAAATTATAATAATATATCTATTCCTATATAGTTTAAATACATAGTAATACTATAAAATGATTCACAACTTTTTGAGGTGGTTTTTTTTTATACTGATCGTTTTTTTACACGGAGTTTGGCGTATAGTGTTTTTGTTGGGATACCTATCACTAATTTTTTTTATGTTATTATTATTATTACTATTGTTGTTGTTGTAATCATTATTATTAAATATTATAATGTCATATATGTATTATTATATATTAAACATTTAAGGTTTTAATTATTTTTTTCCATTAATATAATGTAAATTCCCCCCCCCCCCCGAGGCCACCGTTCATACTTTATTTGAGTATCATTACAATAAATAATTGCATGGCACTAAGGCAGTCAAGAGAACATAATATAACGCTGGACGTGCAAGACGGACGGCGGTCGACGCAAGAAAGAACAATGTTGAATATATACGCGACTACGCGAGCCGTTACGTATTTTGGTCATTATCTATTTCTTTAAGCTCTGGCAGATCGTCATTACTATTTTTTTGAAACATATATTTTATTTTAAAACAACTGCCTGCCTCTATTTGTAGTTTTTTTTGTTTTTTTTCTCTAATTTTTTCAGCGCCACCGAATGTGTAGTTATTCGAATGATCTTCCATTTTACTGTTAAATAATAATGATAATAATATAAATAAATATGATATAATTAAAAATGTAGAATCGCACTATATTATTTCTATATCCCGAATTTCAATATTTCTATTTTTATATTTTGAAACTTAATTTTACTAGTGAAAAGTTATTCAGTTTTCACAATTATTTACCAGGTCCGCACGACCACACCGTGGCCAATAAATGAATAAAATAAATTTTAAATACTAAATACAGACCGAATAATTCCACGTAGAAACGAAGAAATCGCTTATCATAAATCTAAAGTTGGAATTGTACAGTGGGACGTGGGTACTCGCCGAAACTACGCGAGCGGTGTCGAACAACTGAAATCTATATCTATAATAATACAAATAATATACTGGTCTGCGTTGTCGTAGCTGTCGGCCCGGATCGACGGGTCGATGCATGCCGACAACGTAGATAAAAATATGACAATAGCTTATCAAAAATCACCACAAAATAATTTAAGAATTGTTGATCTTTTACAATATTTTTAAAATTTCTCAAAAAAATGTAGATATTAATAATCCATTTATGAATTCGGCCCTATTACTGATTTATAACATGGGCCCACCAGACTTCGCCCGGTAGTCCAACCCTGTGTGTAAGTCATGTGAGCCCATAAAGCAAATATAAAATTATTTTCATTTTCATATTTAAAAAATACAAAAAATATTTACTGTTAATAAGAATTAGTCGAAATTGATTGATGTTTTATGCTTGCAGGCAATATTTACTTCAAAGAAGTCAATAGTATTAGGTACTATAGTCTGAGGGGCTATAAAATCCAGGAAAGTTATTTACAGGAATGACAACAACGGGAAAGTAAAATATAGGAAAATAATACGAGGGAACAATAATTCGTAGGAAAATAAAAATCAGGAAAATATATGTACGGAAATAAATAACAGGAAAAATAATTTGTTGGAAAATAATAACCAGGAAAATATTACAATTGAAAAACTTTACTGGTAAATTATAAATCAGGAAAATATAATTCAGGAAATTATTTCGTAGGAATTTAAAACACAGGAAAATAAAAAACGGGAAAATAATTTATAGGAATTTAAAAATCAGGAAAATATTTATACCGGAAAATACCTAATACACAGAAATTTCAAAACC